TCATAAATTGGTCTCAGATCCAATGTCACTTGAGAGATATTCTCTGAGTATTGTGCAGTATCTACTTATTCCTAGTACCTATTCTCATTATCCCATTTTATTGAATTCATTGTACTTTCTACTACCTAAAAAATTTATTAATTTACTCGTCAAATGGCTATCTCCTGTTCCTATAAGACTCACTAAAAGAGTGACTTGTCTGCCTATTTCCAGTATATCCTTTGCATTTGGTATAGTGCTTGGCACATAGTAGGGACAAAATAAATAATGGCTGACTGACCAAAATCTATTTAATTAGAGACTACTATGTCAGGTAATAAGCTCAGGCTTATCACTACCATTTTTACTTAAGTATAGCCAATATGTAGGAACTTTTTAGAAACAAGATGTAAGTGGGGAAGAAATCTCCACCAACAGAGCTTCAGTCCCAGTCTTGGACACTGCTGCCCAGGACATCCCATCTTCCTGTACACTCCATTCTCATTCTTTACTTCTCTTGTACTCTCAGAATATCATACTTACGAGAGGAGTCTAAAGCAATGGTTCTCAAAAAGAATAGAGAGGCTAAGAATCAAACCTGTGTGGTTGCAAGGTTGAGAAGGAAAGAGTAAGATGGTAGGGCAGGGGATGGAATTTTACAGGAGGAAAATGGTTATGCTGGACACTTGCCATCCACCAAGACAAAGAGATGACTGAAATACTAGTACTAAATTAAGTCCATGTGGAAACACTTCTCTTCCCAGGAAGAAGGAAAGACAAATTAGTCCGGTGGTAATCTTTAAAACACTTACAAAATTTGACAATTTTAGCCTTTACTCAATTTATAACTTGTATCTAACACCATGTTTTTCTTTCATATGGATCTCTGTGTAGATTAGGTGACTCACTTATGGTTGTATCTACTCAACATGGTATTAGTTCATCTCTAGTTAAATCCTAAGGGTAAAATGTACTACAGTCCAGGGTCTACATGAAGTATGACTCCTTGAACCACCCACACAGAAGGAATATTCCTGCCTTTGGAGACTGTTTCCACATTATATGGCCATGTCCATGTAAGATTAATATGACTGACTTGGGAAGGAAGGCAGACAGAGCAGGCACCCTGAAGTAATGACAGTAATGGCACTTACCACCCGCTCTGCACTATCCTAAGTTTAGGTGAATTATTTTTAATAGTATTTATAACAGCTCACAACATGTATTAAGTGTTACTATGCTAAGAATCATGCTAAGCACATAACATTATTCACTCATTTAATTCTGACAACAATGCTGTGAGAGAGGCCCTATTATTATTCTCATCTTACAGTTGATAAGAGTGAGACCCAGAAGGACTTAGTAATTTATCTTCAGTCACATAGTTAATTACTAGTTAGGATTCAAACTTGAACAGTTTGGCTCCAGAATTTATGCATATAGCCCGTCCACACAACCAAAGAACCCTGTGAATATCCTTGTTTTACAGATAAGGAAACTGAGCTCAGAGCGGTTAAGAAATGTGTTTACAGTCACAGAGCTAGCAAGTGATAGGGCCAAAATTTGATTCCCAGTCAGCTGGATACCACAGCCTCCTCACCATTCCAGTTAAGATTTCAACCCTGAGGAGGCCATACATGTGATTGTAGACAGCTCCCCACCACTCAGAGCCAGGGGCAAAAGGGAAGTATAGTAATACCTTGGTTTGCGAGCATACTTCATTCTGGAAACCAACTACTCGTAAGGCAAGACATCGTTTGTTTACCACATTAAAATGTATTAAAAATGTTTGCTCGTCTTGCGGAACACTCGCAAACCACGATACTCGCAATCCAAGGTTTTACTGTAATTGATGGTTTACCCTTAGGACTGCTGATTCATCCTGCTATTGTTTCTTTATATAATAGTATAACATAAGGGTGGGGGAAAGGTGTATTAGGTTTGAGTGAGTTTTGCCTATTTCACTTTCTGCAAGTTACTGAACCTCTTTAAGTCTCTCCTCTCCGATTCTAAAACACAGGTAAGAATAATGTTTTAAACAGCGCAGTGTCTGTTATAGAGCAAATGCTTAATAAGTATTAATGATTATCATCTTCGGTGGTTGCCAAACAAAATTCTGACCAAAATTTGTAAATAAAGGATGTGCTAGCAAATTTTAAATTAAAATTTGCATAGGGAATTCTATATCTGATAGGTTAACACGTTCTTAGCCAAAATCATCATGAGATATTTGCAGTCCCTAAAATGTGCTAATTAAGCAAAACAGATGAGTATTAAATCAATTCAAAATGTAAATATCTCCAAGACTAGTCTATAAAAGAATCACAAGAAACCAGAACTAGAAATATTTACCAAAGAACCACAATGTCATGAAAATTAAAACTATACCTGGAACATCTTAAGAAACGTTCACCAAAATTAATCCAATCAGACTCCTGTACTATTGCAGGTTTTTAAAAAGACCGAAGTTTCATGTTTTAAAACTAGTAATGGAATTTCATAACAAAAGTTTTATTTCCATATATCCCCATTTTTTCCCATTTGATAGCCCCCAAACTGCAGTTTTAATAGCACCATTAAAATCTTGGGCAATAAAGAATGTAGTGAGTTGATAAATTTGAAAGATACGTTCAGCTAATCAAAATAATTCTGGTTAAAAACAACTTATTTCCTTAGGTGTTTTTGGCCTCAATTATTTGTCTTGACCAAATATTTTATTTTTTTATACATAAAATATTTAGGACATTAATTTTATATCCATGCCTTAAATCACTTGACACTTCAAAATAATAATACCTTTCTTCTTTGAGTTGAGTAAGCACTCAGGCTCTTCTTTGACAGAGATTTTACAACTCTTTACCCGACAGAAAAAGGATCGTCTTGAGCCAGAACACACACGAGTCCTTCCAGTGTAGAAATTACTCTGAACTTGCAAACCAGCTTTCATAGTCAAAGGAGGCAAGAGAAGAAAATAATATTTTCAAATAATTTTGAAATTTATCTCCTAACATTTTCTGATCATCTATTGCATTTTTTTAATAAATTAAAAAAGAGAAATGGATATTTAAAGCAATGACATCATTGTACAGTAAGCCAGGAAGTGAAATATACCAAAAAACGTATTTGTCAAGGAATCATTTTGATAACTTATAAAAAACATTTGCAATTTACCTTTATTTTTACTCCTGAGGGTAGATGATAAAAATAGCTTAATTGAAATGAAATAAAAATTTAAAAATGAAAAAAAACTCAATTATAATAATAATGGTATAAAGCACCGTTATTTTTGTGTTATAAATAATTACTTGGCACTAAGCATTTTCAGAGATAATAAGTATTTTCCGAGAAAATAAAGAATACTTACACCTCCCAAGTACAATTATACAAGGTGTTTCATATTGAATAGGCCTCACCCATATAAGAGAATAATTATCTCTTAGAATATAACTGAATAATGAAAACTCCAGCAATTTTTTATCCCAAATGATACTTTTTTGTAAAGACTTTATTAGAATATTAAAAACAATGAACATGAAGCAATCATATTTTCCTCAAACAAGGTGTCTTTAGATGAAAATCGTTCTTGTTTTTGTATGTGTATGAATACAGGAATCTCTATATAGTTATATTGTTTTTTTAAACTCTCAGGTTGATTGTGAAGTTTACTACATAATTCTACTCTTGATAAAACCACAATTAGATAACTTTTCAAAAACATTATACAGCTGTACTTTTTTATTATTAGTTTCAGGTGTACAAAACAACATAATGGTTAGACATTTACACCTCTCACAAAGTGATAACCCTGGCAAGTCTCCTACCCATCTGACACCATAATAGCTATTATGATACCATTGACTATATTCCCTATACTGTACATTCTGTGACTATATATTTTTTTCATTATAGTTGACATTGTACAGCTGTACTTTTAAGTAACAATTATATTTGCATTAAATGGTAAGCATGCTAAAATGAGCACTTACTTTTGGAATCTATTAGCTTCTCTCTTGGTGAAATATCAGAAGAAGACAGTTGTTCCTTTACTTTGGCAACATCTTTTGGATGTAAGAAGTCAAATAAGCTTTGTCCAGTCAAACTAGCCTATTTATAAAGTAGACATTCATTTAAAATCAGTACCATAATTTTTTTACATTTCCTTATACAGACATATGATAAAAACTCTCATTAAAGTTGCTTTTCCTTAAGTTCAAAGGCACATCTACCACACTGTGTGTCATTAACTTAGTGTTAAAAGTAGGGGCATACTTGTAGATAGAAAAAAATAGAACCATAACGGGATACACACAAATCACACAAACATCTAACCATTAATATTCTATTTACTCGTATCACTCTTGTTAATATCCCCCAATTTATGTTACTTCTATATTATATTATGATTTACTTTAAACTTTATCTTGGTAAAATACGTCATTATAGTATCATACGGAAGTCACAGAAGATCTGTGATTTTATAGTGTGACTCAGAGATTTACCACACTATTGAACAACGAAATCCAACCTGGGACACCTCCCACTTCCCATTCCACTTCTCCCAATAAACTGAACACTCCTAGGTCTGCGCCTTGGCTCCATGGTTTCATCACCCGGAATTCATTACCCCTTCTCTACAAACTCAATCCAGCCAATTGCCTTTTACTCCTTAGATGCCCTAGATTCCCTCTCTCACCCTAAAATGTCTTCCTCATTCTACTTTGCATGTGAAGTTCTCCCTGACCCACAGTGACCGACCACCTGTCTTCTGAACTCCTTCATTACCCAAGTAGACAATCCTATAGAAGATAGAATAAATGGGCCAGATGGTACAAGGAGCCTGGATTGCTTGACAGTCAGTTATTAATATCTCATACAAAAAAAAAAACACCCCCAAAACAAAAACAACTAGCAATCTGATTTCTACATCTTTCTATTGTGTAATTGGTTAATATAAGCCTGCCCAGAACTCCGCTTAGAGCAAATCAGGTTTCAGAATCTGAAAAGCTGCGGACCAGACCCTGCACCATGGGGATCCCAAAGTCCTCCAGGACAGTCAATGAGTCTCTTGAATGGTCTGTGCCCACTGGCACTGGTGCTCAGTAACGACGATGTAAAGCAATTACACAGCTAGTTAAATAAAATATGTATTTCAGAGTTTGTTGCCAGAGCTTAGATGAAAAGTTGTTATGCAAGGCATATAACTTAAAATTAGTAATACTGCTGTCTGTTGGCTGAAACAGAGAAGGGTGACTAATGTTTTTTAGACACTTTCAAATAA